AAAAAAAAAAAAAAAAAAGAAATTAGAGTTACCTTGAAGGTGAGGAAGGAGGGATAAGGAGTAGTTCTTAATTACTTAGAACTCTAGCTTTGGTGTCTAACAAAATAGAAGCACAAAGAATGAGGTGATAACTTACTTACTGAAACTGTGTGATTACCCGAAGCAAGAATGATATCAAACTAAATGTTATTAATATATAATGTTGAATTTTATTTGTATATACTTTTATCTAAAAAATCAAAAGATAAAAGGGTATTAACGAGAGGAACATAGAAGTATGTAACAAAACTGGAATTATTCAGATAGAATGTTTTGTAGACTCATTAAGTTTCTTTTTTTGAGACAGAGTCTCTGGAGCCCTGACTAGAGTGCCATGGCATCATAGCTCACAGCAACCTCAAGCTCTTGAGTTCAAACAATCCTCTGTTCAAACAGTTTTTCTGTTTTTAGTAGAGATGGGGTCTTGTTTTTTGCTCAGGCCTGTTTGAACTCCTGAGCTCAAGCAATCCACCTGCCTTGGCTTCCCAGAGTTGCTAGGATTACAGGCAAGAGTCACTGCACCTGGCCGATTCACTAACTTTTGTTTTAGAAACATGTTGGGCTTTTTGCATAATTCATGAGTTAGTCCACAGTGTGAAGAATCCTGCTTTGAAGAGTGAAGAGAGTAGTCAGTATATGACTATTGGCTTAATTTTAAGGTTCTGGTTATTCTTTATTGTGCCTGTAGAAACACTAGTTTATTTTAACTAAAACTACTATTTTTTTCATCACAAAGATTATATAGGGAATTTATAAAATTTAATTTCATTGCTTTTCCCCCCTCCTTCCTTTAGAACATATAATGAGGAAAACAGAAGAATCTGAAGCACACATGGAGACTGAAATTAAGAGGAAAGTACAACAGAAACGGCACTGTAGTACATACCAGCCTACTCCTCTGTCTCCTGCTTCAAAAAAATGTTTAACACATTTAGAGGTGGGTAGAGAAATTATTTATTGCTAATCAGATAGTATTTTTATTATTTTTAGTACTTAACTAAATTCTGTGTGATCTTTTTAACATAAGACCAAAAGACACCTAGAAATGTTATTTAGGCAGACTTTTCTGCCTTCAATAAACCATTTTTTTACCTGTCCAAACTACAGAATTTTTTTTTTTTTCTGAAAAGAATTTATTTGTGCCTTTTGGTATGCACTCCAAGTTGTAACACACTCCAAGTCATTGCCCTTGACCAGAACCTTTTTGAAATAAATTTAAGAAAAGTTAAAAATAGAGTGCCTGTTCCTCTCCCAGATTCCCTGGTTTTCCACATTAGCTGTATAGTCCTTCTCTCGGTGCCCTTTTACCTCTTCCTTCCTCCCCATACCCGTTTGTGTCTACGTATTTTTCCATACCATTTGAGTATGTACCACCTAATGTTTCAGTGTGCTGCTTTTTTTTAAAAAACAATACAATTCTTATGATGCTTTACTGAAAAGAATGTCACAATTATAAGAGGGATTTTACATAACAAATCCAAGCAGTATAACCTGGTTCTTTGTACTCTCAATGATTCGATCCCCCAACAATAAAATATATTACAATTAAAGGTTACGTTGTAAATTTAAAAAAAACAAAAACAAAATAAAAGGTGGAGGTGGAGGCGTTTTTCTATATAACCAGAGTGTAGCTATCAAAATCACAAAATTAACATTGATTCAAAATTATCATCTACCATAGCTCTATTTAAAGTTCACTATAATGAACCTTTATGGATAATAATGTCCTTTATGGATATAAGATCCAGTTCTGGGTCTTGTGTTAAATTTAATTGCTATGAATTAGTTTTTTTCAGTAAGGAATAATTTTATACTCTTCTGTTGTCTTTCATAACCTTAATATTTACAGAGTCCAGGCTACTTACTTGTACCTCAAAGTAGGTTTGTGTGATGTTTCTTTATGGTTTATACAGTTTTCAAAAATACTTCAGAAATGATGCTATAATCTTCTCTTGTATTGTATCAGGGGACACAATGTTGATTTTCCCATTAATGATACTAATATTTACCCTAGTTAAAATGTTTTTGATTTCTCCAGTGCCAAGTTAATTAATAGGTATTTCTATCCTCGCTTATTCGTAGGACTTTTAATGTAAAGTAGAGCTTTTCCTTACTACATATTTACTTGACTATTTGTGTTAGTGTAAGCACATGGATTCTTGTTTTACTCTAAGGGCTGTAATTTGTAACTTTCATTATTTTATTTTGATACTAAAATTATTCTAGATGTTACCCGTGGGAGTCCCTTCACACTAGCCCTTGTTTCTTCTTGACATGTCCCCATAATTCATTGAGTACTTGTTTACTCTTTGGTATAGGAAGACTGATCCTGTATTTCTCTGTCTCAGCCCTCGAGTCCTGTATTTGTCCAAGGAGTCATTAATGCTTCCCTTAAGTAGAGAAGATATTTGGGCACTAGTTATGTTCATTGATACTGGTATCATTGTTTCTAGGTCCTCTCAGTGGACAGAAGGAAATATATATGTGTGTTAATAGTTAATGCATTGATCACGCTAATTGTAGTCCAGCACTACAGTGTTTGTTTTAGTCTTTCTCACTTTGCATGGAACTCCCTCCTCTGACAGTAAGAAACCTGACTCCCATCATCCCCAGTGTATTTACCTATTCAGTTTTCTTTATGTGATCAGTCTTCTGCCATGCCAGCTTCAGCGTGGCTCGGGCCATCCTGATGTCCTGCACTGCTTGGCCCCAGGTGACAGAGGAGGAAGGAGGAAAGCTCCCAGACACAGCACCCTTTCTCTAGTAGGCATGCCAGCTGGAAACCTCAGAATTTTTTTTAATGCCTAAAATAAATTTTTCTTTTCTTACTCTTTATTCCCATGCCAGTTGTTCTTATTTTTTTCTTAGTGGAGATAAAGAATTGTAGCCAGCCTCTATGTAATCTTTAATTCGTGAACAAGGTTAGTTGTTTTTCTTTCCGTGTATAGTCTGTGAAATTCCACCATCTTTATTGCTTATAGGAAAACAAGATTTTGAATTTAATGACATTAATTGGAATTAACTGTTTTTAGGATATATAATAAAAACAAGATGGTCTCACTGATGTCGCCTCAAAAATAGCCTCATTGTTACTAAGTGTAGTTGGTTATTTATGGGTAGAGACTTACAGATAGTAGGTGATACATAATTTGGAATTATTTTATTCTGTAAAATTCTTCCATTGACCAAAAGCGGGAAATGAGATTTTAGTCAATTTTTATTTTCCAAAAGAAATTATATGTAACACAAAATGTTATGAAATTTTACTATTTAAAGTCTGCTAAAACTAATTTTGAGCAGTGTTAAGATTCTAGTTTTTAGACCAGTAGGTTGATAAAATTCTTAATCTCTAGTTTTTAGCCTGAAACATATTACATCTCTTTTTATTGAGTTGATCTGCATTTTGTTCCTAAGTTGCAAAAAGTTCTAAGATATGTGCTTCTAAGGTGAGGGAAGGTATATACTAATAGCTCAGGATATATTTTATTCTATATTTTAATGTTGGAAATTTTAATAGTAGAGATATACTTCTTTTTTTGTATCAATTTTATTAAAAGAAATAACTGGAAGTATCACTTTTCTATGGAGTTCTTTTCACTTAGATATGTCCGATTTATCTTTATTACAGACAGTAAATTATTGGAGCCGGTCAGTACTCACCTTGATCCATATCCTCAGATTCTTAAAGACAGAATTAGTTTATGTAACTGACTGCTGGACTAGATGGTCTTGAAAATTACTTCCAGCATTCTGATGCTAAATTCCAAGTAACATGACTTATTCAGGATCTCATGGTAGCCATGGTGATGATGATGGGAGATGTGGGGGACTTAATTTTGAGGCTTTGGGGGAAGGGTTTTCTTGATTTTGAAATAAAATGCCAAAATCTTTTATTTCTTTTGTTCTTTTGGAACTTAAAGTTTCTGAACAGCCTGAATGTTGTCTTAAATGTGGAAAAGAAAAAGAAAATCAGACCAAATGCCAAAGTTTTGGTGTTCTTTTTCCTAAGGATTTGCAAAGAAATTGCAGACAAGCTATAAGTTTGAATGATTCTACCGGACCATTATTAAGAACATCAATTCATCAGAATTCTGGAGGACAGAAGTCACAAAACACAGGATTAACAACCAAGAAGTTTTATGGCAACAGCGTGGAAAAGATTCCAATTGATATTATCGTGAATTGTGATGATAGTAGACACAAGTATTTACAGACAAATGGAAAAGTCATTTTACCTGGTGCAAAAATACCCAAAATCACAAACTTAAAAGAAAAGAAAACAAGCCCGTCAGGCCTAAATGATCCAAGTAAGTATTTTACTTTCTTTAATAATATTTATTACTTCAATCCAATATTTATGCCTATACATATATACATTTTTTTTAATGCCAGTGTGAGCATTAAAAAACTTTGTTCTCATATGGTCCATCTTAAATAGTTTGAAAACCATAGACCTTGGCCTCAATCTTAGGTCTAGTGCCGATTGTGCCTAGCTTTCTGACTTTGGCCAAGTTAATTTAATTTCTGCTGATTGTGTTACTAAAGGAGTAAATAAAAGAACGTACATGAAGGGCTTAGTGTAGAATAAAATATTTGACACATAGAAAGGACTCAGTGGAAGGAAGGGAGAAAGAGGAGAGAGAAATTGTAGGCAACAGATGTGTGAAGAAAACCAGTAGCAAGAGACTTAGTTGTCCTCAGAGAGATATTGATACTCAAGTTGCAAGTATCTTTTTATTCACTAAGTCCAGTTTCCAGAATCTTAACTCTCTGCTCTTGATTTCCTGGAGTTCTCCATGCATTGCTTGTTAATTTATTTTACATCATTCTTAAAAACCTGAGAACTTGGCTCAGCACCTATAGCTCAACCAGCTAAGGCGCCAGCCACGTACACCTAAGGTGGCGG